ATCTATCTATCTATCTATCTATCTATCTATCTATCTATCTATCTATCTGAAACAATGGTTGTGCATAAAATCTTTTTAGTATTTTCTCTTATTTATGCTATACATTCAGCATTAAAAAGCAATTGTTTAGTGTCTCAGATGCTGACTTTCATTAATTTTTCTACATATTAGTCCAGGTTCCCTATAGTATTAGTAATAAGCTGTGCTCCCCTCTAGGTAAGCACAATGGGACTGTCCAGGGCAGGGTGTATTTCCGCTGTCCCCCGGGCCATGGTGTGTTTGTGAAGCCATCTCGACTCACCAGAGGACCTCCCTCCATGGACACAGAGCCCCAGACTTTCATCAAATAGGACCCAAAGAAGAACCTGATTTCTGGGGAGCAGCAAGGACCCAGAAGGGCCCCCCCTCCCTCACATGCATTGTTCGACTCTGAAAGCTGATTTCTGACCACTCATGTCGCAGAGCCCTTGTGCTCTGTTGATGTGGATGCTTTGCTAAAAGGCATATCTTACCTGTGCATTTAATGAAGTATTTTGTAGTTGCTGTTCACTAAAAAAAAAGAACAAAATCACTATGCACATATTTGAGTTTTCTATATTGTCATATTTTTATAGAGGGCTCACCTTTTATCTGGGAATATTATCCGCCTAAGTTTTCTTACATTGCTTCTGGAGAATATATGTAATATTTTTATATTGCAGATCGCGCCCCTCTCTGAGGCTCATCATGAAGTGATCTGGGATTTGAAGATTAAGAATGTACTACTGTTTATAAACTTTGATATTTACATCAATATGTCACGTCAGGGCTAACCAAAGAACTACGGTTCCATATCTGCTGTTCAAGTGTTAAGTTGTTTTATTTCTATTATAGCTATACATGGAGATACTCATTACAAATCGACATGTCCAAGTAAAGCTTAGTGCCATATCTGTAGGAGCAATGCCACGTAAATGTATCGTCCTGTTGATGTACTGTAGCACTGTGGAGGAAATAACTCCCCGTTCGGCCTGAGACTGAATGAGGAAAGGTTGCACTGGAAAGGATTCTTGGGAAGCTCACCGACTGTCTTCCGTACAGGACTCATTAAATATTAACCCGACGACTGTTAGTCATCGCTAAGAGGTCCCGATATAAGATACACGCCTTATTGTTATTTGCAAATACCCCTCCCCCCATCATGACTACTCAGAGAGACGTATAAAGAGTTTGATACCTGTGAACTGTTTCTGAAGTGTAGAATTCGAGCCCTCCTTTTAATGGAGGATTTGTTGAATAATTAAAAACAACAGGTTGGTTAAGGTAAGAGGATAAGACTTCCTTGAAAGTTGTTTTTTTTTTTTTTAAAGGTTTTGTGTCCAGGATAATAAACAAGCTGCAGTTTCACTTAAATAAAACAAACCCAAGACCTTACTTTAAAGAAGAGAACAAAGCTGCTCTCCCTAATAAGGAGTTCTTTATGTAAATGTTTCTGAACATAGTATTTCCGCTATTGTATTGTACAGAATTGTATTTATATTGTATCTTGTTTTAATTGGTACACAGTGTTCTAGAATAGAACATTTCCAATCAGTTTCTGTGTGCTGTCTGCTCATTTCTAACACTGGTGGAGTGAATTGCTTCGTTAGGTTTGGTTTCAGCCAGAGGGCTTTATTTCCTATGCAATCATTTTTTTAGGCTCTATGGCCTTTATTTTGTTATTTTTTAAAGTATGTAGACAGGAAAGTGGGTTACAAGAGAGCAGAGAGACATTATTTACATGAATATGGAAATGTGTCAGTTTCCTTCTCCATCCAATGATTCTAGGGTCCATCCATCCTGCTGATCATCCATCAATCTATCCAGCCTTAGGATCATTTTAGTTTATGGGATCCAATCATCGTCCAGAATACCATCCAACGGCCAATCCATTTATCTATAATCCATTCATCTTCCTGTCCATCCATCCTGTGATGATGTCGCCCCAAAGCATGATGCTACTACCTTCAGGCTTAACAGTACAGTCTTCTGGATTTAAAAGCACCTTGACTAGTCAGTAATTTAACGCTGTCTTCTCTGACTATAAAACTTTCCATATGAGTGAATACATAGTTTCATAACTTTTATCCGTGGCAGTTTCCCAACAACTTCTGGAGTTCTGGAGTGGGGGAAGAATAGAGAGAGAAAAGCATCAGAAGGTGCTTTGGTTTTCTTCCTGATCTTGGCAAAGTAATGACACTTTTGAATAATTGTATTTAATGTTAAACGTTTCAAATGAAGGTCTTCAGATCAAGTGTGGTTTACGATTGGCTCATAATTTTTTTTCTCCTTGTAGAAATCAACTATTTTGCTTAAGTCTTATGGTTCCCCAGGACTTTTCCATTGTTCTGACTTTTTATACAAGTGATTGTGATTACAACAGCCTGCTCTGATGTTGATGGAAAAGAGGAACTTGCAGCTGCAGTTTGTACTAAAGAGATGTAAGGCAGGCGTATACTTCCACTTTGTGCAGCAGTCAGACTGCTGCAGGAATGTTTTACACCAGGAATCAGCTAACTTTACAGCCCAATCAGAAATATTTTGCAGGTTAAACAAAATTATCAAAATAGCTTAAAACTCCATAAATGTGTATAGTTTACAACCTATTGGGAAAAACATATTACTTTATATAGGAAAAGGAGCTCACATTGTTAGTGTCACTCTTTAAAGAAATGTGTGTAACTGCATGAAAACCCCCTGCGAAAAACTGATAAAGCTAGCCCAACTTTTATTACATTTACATCTTAAAGCATTACTATTACATTTTGGGCTGAAGTTATTCAAGTCATAGAGGAGGGTGTAAATAACATGGGTGGCTCTAGACAGGTGCTAGTGCCCTTGTAGAACATGTTATGGTCCCTGTACTGGAAACACACACAACATTTTCATATAAGTAGGCTTCTTAAAGTTAGTGCATTTTAGCTTGAATTAAAGAGGTAAAACAATTTGCAGATAGTAAAAAATTATTTAGGTTTAAAATAAACATATCGGTCCTCTAATTTTAAATGCTTATTATCTTTGCAAATTAAGGACAAATACAAGTATTTAAGGGATATTTTTAATATATTATTTTGCCTAGACATGTCATTATTTCCAACCATACTAAGATTGGATCAAAGTTTTTATCTGTTAGATCAGAAGTGTCCCACCTTGGCTTTGTGGCTCTGTTAGTATAGTAACAATGTGCTCTTTTCCTATTTGTGTGCTGTTGTTTTTTAATTTTGTTTTTTGGTGAGTGGGTATGTTATTATTTTGCCCTGTTCTTCATGAAAAAAGCATAAACCCCACCCTGGGACCCACTGGAAAATTTTGTCTAGAACCGCCACTGCTATAGACCTTTTTTTTAAAGATTATAGTTGATTAGTTTTTCAATTAATAATCAGATGGCAAAAGGTTCCTTAGAAGAAGACTTCTTATGAAATTAAACCAGGTGAAACTAAAACTTTTCCACTTGAGGAGTTCTGGATAGGACCAGAGGCGTAGCCAGAAAATTTTTATAAGGGTGGCAATACTGAGTATGATGTATACAATGTATACTGAGGGGTGGCCAAAGGTGGATAGGCACCAGAACCTCAGGGTCAAAAGGTTTATCATGCAGTCAGGGATAAAAGCTATATTGGATAAAATTCTTTGGAGGTTTGCGTTCTGGAGGGAACATCTTGTCCACCGTCATTACTTACCTACTTTTATCAATCTTCTACATTAAATTGATATTTACAAGTACTAATATCTACATGAATTGATAATTTTCAAGGTTTTTATTAAAATAGTTATTCACGGTATCTATGATTTCACTGAAGACTCTTAGATGACTTGTAGAGACACATTTTCTCTTTATTTCATATAACACAAAATCTAGTTCTGAAAGCATGAATTCTGTACTAATCGTCTCTAATGTTGGTATATTGGTGTGCATAATTAACCACAATGTTTTTGTTGTCAGGTAATTTTTTGTATATATGAAATTAAACAGTTTTAAATATTGTACTTGAGAGGAAAAAATGGTAGGGGTGGCCAATGATTGGCTAAGGGTGGCCATGGCCCCCCATCCAGCTCCGCCCCTGGATAGGGCATATTAACAGATGAAAAAGTTTGTTTTTGTTTTTTTTTATCTTGAATGCAAAATGTTTACATACATTTTTGACAATTTTGGTATAATTACTCTACTAAGTAGGTCGCTCTGTCAGCTAAAGGCCTGTTTTAAAGTCCCTATAGCTGCACGATTAATCGATTATTAAATTAGTTGACGATTATTGAAATTATTGATTAATCGCGATTATAACGATTAATTGTTTCAGCCCTAAAAGAAAGAAAGCCCTTTTTCCAAAGTCTTTGTTGTCTCTGGCCTCCATTGGCTGTCCCAGCAGCTGTGGGCCAGTAGGTAGCCTGAACTCTGAGTGGTGGTCCACAGACATGGGTGGAGTTAAGTTTGTGTCACTGGAGCTGACAGCTGGGAGAGCTTCATAACAAACTAACAGGTGTGATCCTCCTGGCTCTGCTCTGTCAGTCCAGCTCACCCCCCTCACCAATCAACCACGCGCCTTTCCTTCTCTTTAACTTCACTTTAAAACTACATTTAAACAAATCGGAACAAATGATGCATTCGGCACAAAAAGACACCACCTTCACCAAGATCTTCGTGGGAGGTCTTCCTTATCACACCACGGACTCCAGCCTCAGAAAATATTTCGAAGTGTTTGGAGACATCGAGGAGGCTGTGGTTATCACCGACCGACAGACGGGGAAATCCAGAGGTTATGGATTTGTAAGTAAAAACCTGTTCATCAAACGGCCTTCAAGGCCTGCGGGCTGTCATGTAAAGAAACTCTCAGGTTTATTGACATTTTCATAAATGTTCCGACTTTATATTTGCAAGATGATTTGGGGGAAAAACTCAATTATGATTTTATTTTTTTTTTTTTTTAAAGCCATATAACAAAAAAAAAAAAAAAAAAAATACAAGTAGCCTACTTATTAAAAAACTTTTAAAAAAATCATATTGACTGGCTTTAAAAGATGTGGAGAAATGTTTTTGAGATGCATGTCATGTTATGATATGGGTTACAGGCTGATGGGTTTTCAGATTTAATTCAATTAAAAAAATATTTCAATATCTTAAAACATTTATTCTTTATTCTTAAAAGCAGACTATCATTATTATCACATATATTTGTGTTCTGACACTTTTGATAAATACATGAATCCTTATGGCAAAAATGGAGAAACAGTTAAAACTGAAAAAACATGAGGAAAAAAAAAACAGCAAGCAAGCTGAAAAAATTGCCAAAGGTTAATGACGTCACTTTGGATCACTCAGGCTTTCTGTCTCTATAGTACTTTTCAGTTTGTTTATTCAAAAAGTCAAAAATGTATTTGTCCAGTGAGAAGGATTAACTCAGGAGAAATGTAGATGTGGAAGTTCAAGACCAAATTAACTAGGGGCCCTGGTATTTATTTTCATTTATTTATTTTTGCATTGGTTTCAATGGGGCACTAAACAAAAAAAATAAATAAAATATGGCATTAGTTTATTGTTCAGTATATTAAGACAGAAATGGAACCAAAGAACCTATTACCACTCTGGACACCCTAGATACAACTTAAATATCTTAATTTTAAAATGAATTATTAAAATAAAACTGTAAAGGTAAAAAATTTAATTGATCCAATCGACCAATCAGTGAACAGTTTGTGTCAGTACTTATCCTAACAAGAAATTTTAATGTTCCTTCTTGAGCATCAGTTCGACAGTGGCTCTGGCCCCTGTTGGCCCCTATCTAGAACTACCCATGTCAAAGATGAACAGCTTGTAGACCTGAAAAACCTGTCATCGAGATGAGATATAAAAATAAATATCTGTGTAGATTACTCTGCCTGTAAACTGCAAAAACTGAAATTCTGACAGTATTCAGATGGACATTGTCATTTGTAGTTCTTCTCTGGGCGGCGTTGTTATTCTTATGCGCACAAGCAGGCAATTAGCACATACCTCTCAATAGCTTTTTATTTGCAAGTCATACCATGTTTATCTAAGCATCATCTTAGTCACTTTGTCATCCATAGCTAGCTTTCTCAGAGAAGTTTAACTATAAAGCATCACTTGAAGATAATGTTGCTTAAGTAGTATTTTTTATATATATATATAGGCAGCAGCAGTTAGTGAAACATTTATTTGGCTCAAGAAAAGGGGAAAAACTACAACCTAATTCAAGTTTTAAGTTTTGTAAAATTTCCTGATCTATTGTACTGTAAAGGGACTCAGAAAGTGCTATAAAAGAGCTAATATTCCTACCTGATAAACCTCATAAACAGTTGTGTCACCTAACAAGCAATTGTGCATTCAAATATTTGAGTTAAAAATGTTTCTTTCTCCTTACAGCAGTAGATATTTAACCATTTTGATTCATACAAATTCCTGAATATGTGCTACTTGTTTCCTTTTTTTTATATATATATATATATATATATATAAAGAGCGGCATAGTTGCAAATATTCTTGTCAAAAAGTGTTTTCTGACTACCAAATTCTGATCCTACTTACTGTTAAAGGTAAC